GGTCGGTCCCTGCCCCCGCGGGGACCTCTCCGGGGCCGAGTCCCTGGTAACGGTGACTGTCGCCGGGCTGGAGTTCGGTGGCCCGGGCTGGTGCAAGTTACTGACAGGAGGAAAAAGTTGAGGAAGTGCAGCGTGTGACAGCCCGGCTTTGGTGAGATGTTTAATTGTGCGTTGTCCGGGCTGTGTTCTCTGAGGGGTTTTTGTGTAAACACGGTTACGGAGAGGAGGAGAGAAACCTTACTGAGGTGCAGGCGGGGAAGGGAAAACGCGTCTCTGCCACGATCTGTTGGCAGAGCAGGGGGGCTGCTGGAGAAGGCAGCACCTGCAGACAGAGAGGCACCAGCTGCTGCTGAAACCTGTAACGTTAAAACTTCTTGTCCGGTAGTTGCACATGAGCATCCAAGTCTTGCATTGGGCTTTATCTGTCGCTTCCTTGGCTTGCTGGCTCTCTGAGGCAAAACCATTGCGGGATGTGTTTTGTAAGTGAATCGGGCCAAGGGTTTGGTCAGCATCATTACACTTTCTCTTTTCTTACTCTTGCTCTGTCATTTCCTGTAAATCTTGACAGAACATTTCAGATGTGTTCTCTCAGACTTGCACTGAGGACATCAGGCTCTTTGTCTTTACTTATTTCCCCGTGACTATTTGTCATGATGTTTTTTCATCCCTGGCTGGTTTGTGGTGGGAATAACTTTCTTCTCTCTGTTTTTCCCCAGAAAACATGAAGGAAGTGAAGGAGCCAAGGCATCGTAAAGACAACAGGCGCCCAGACCTGGAGATTTACAAGCCTGGCCTCTCCCGACTGAGGAGCAAACTTGTGCAGCCAAAGCATGAGGCCTCGGAGAAGGAGAGGAGCAGAGCTGAGGAGGAGAACGCCAGCAACAAGGGCTCTTCAGGAAGAGAGGCTCCACTCATGGAGGATTTTGGGAAAGGTGATGGCCCCAAACAAAATGGTCCTTCACAGGAAAATGAAGAGACAGAGGCTAAAGGTGGTCTTCAGAGCCAGGAGAACTTGTCCAAGCAGCCTGCTCCAGATGAATGCTGTCCCAAGACCACCAGGAGAACCAAGAAGCCGGACCAGCAGATCTACCAGCCTGGGAAGCGCCTGCATTCAGCTGCTAAAGAACCGGCTCTGCGGTCAGCTACCGAGGAAGTCACCAGTAAGATGGAGCAGCTGAAAGTCGAGGGAGATGAAGAGGCTGAGAAAGGTACTGGAAAGGACAACAACAGGAAAACCAAATCAAGCAAGGAGGATAAGGAGGGGAGCCAGGCAGGGGAAGGAGTGAAAGCTTCAAGGGGAGAAAAAGGAAGACGAACGGAGAGAAGTGACAGGATAAGGAGAACAAACGATGAGGTGATGCAGGGGAAGCTGGGTTCTACCAAACGGTACTCCCGCTCTGACAAGCGACGGAGCCGATACCGCACCTGCAGCACAAGCTCAGCCGGAAGCAACAACAGCGTAGACGGAGCCCCGCTCGTGGATGGGGTGGAGAGGCGGCAGGAGCGTGCCAGAGAAAGAATACGTCCTAAGAAGCAGCTCTCTGCATCCTCCACTGACTCCTTGGACGATGACAGAATCGATGAGGCAGAAGCGTATGTCTTCAGC